CTGGAAGACATATGTATTAGTACTAGGTGTTTAAGGAAATCATCTAGTTCTTAGCTGACCTCTAAGATAACCAACCAAGCAGAGACTTTGTGTCTACACATGACACAGCATATAGACTCTAGAAAATGAGTTCTTAAAAGTCACAAAACAGTAGCAACAACAAACCCTGGAGAGGAAGGACATCTGTATTATTTTAAATGTCCACTTTTCAACAACAACAAAAAAGAACAATGAAACAGGCAATGAAACATCAAAGTACAGACCATACGCAGGAGAGAAAGAAATCAGCAGAAACTGTCCCTGAGGAATTCCAGGCATTAGAATTACTGTCCCAAAAAAAGAAATGTTTTAGAAGTTATAAAATGTTTAAAGGGAAATAAGGCTGAAAGTGGAAGCATGAGAACGCTGATCCCCCGAGTTAGAAACTCTCAGTAAAGAGCTGGCAATTGTAACAAGCAAACCAAATTCTAGAGTTGAAAACGACAATGTCTTAAGTGAAAAATTCACTAAAATGAACTCAGAATCATATTTGAACTGGCGGAAGTATCAGCAAATTTGATTGATAAATTGAGATCATCCAGTCTGAAGAAGAGAAGAAATAGAATGAAGTAACGCGAACAGTCTCAGAGGCCTGCGAGTTACCACCAGGTACACCAACATGCACACAGTGAACGAAGAAAGCGGGGAAAGAATGTTCGAAGAAATGATGGCCAGAAATGTCCCAAATTTCAATAAAAAGATCCAAGAAGCTCAAAAAACTCGAAATAGTATAGATTAGAGGTCAGTACTTAATCACGTCATAATCAAACTGTCTAAAAACAAAGGAAAAAAGAATATTGAAAACAGCATGAGAAAAGTGAGTCGTTACCTACAGCCAAGGGAAGTTCAGTGAGATGATCATGTCTCATCAGAAACCACAGAGGCTAGATGGCAGTGGCATGACATAGTCAAAAGGCAAACTGTCCTTTTAAAGTGAAGAAATTAACATGTTCCCAAGTAAACAAAGACTAAGAGAATTCATCACCAGCAGATCTGCCATACAAGAAATAAGAAGGGAGTCTTTCAGATTAAAATGAAAACACCAGACTGTAAGTTGAACCCACCCACAGAAAAGAAAGGTCACTACTGTTGTCTTTGAGTATCGGGGAGCATTGGTTCTGGGACTCCCTGAAGATATCTGTGGGTATTCAAGTCCAGGCACGAAAGGTACCTGTGGGTATTCAAGATCCACCAAAATCTGTGGATATTCAAGTCCAACAGCCAGCCCCGCCCCCATATCTGCATATTCACAGATTCTGCCAACCATGGATTGTGTAATAGGCATTTACTATCGAAAAAGTTCTGCATATAAGTAAACCCACACAGTTCAAATTCATGTCATTCAAGGCACAACTGTATATAGGTAAATATAAAACAGTAAAAACTACTTTTTAACACTCTTCTTCTGTCCTGCATGAGACAAAAATTATAAAACTTTTTTAGGCTTGTACTGTGTAAAGATGTGATTCTATAAAGTACAAAGAAGGGTGGAGGAAATAGAGCTATACTGGAGCAAAGATGTTGTACACGTCTTTTTGAAGTTAAATTGGCATGAATCCAAGCCAAATTGTTTTTAAGATTTTATTATAATCTTCAGGATAGCCACTAAATTTTTTTTAATATATAGGAAGAGAAACACAGGAATCAAAATAGAAAACTAGACAATATCTAATACAAAAGAAAGCAGTTAAAAAAAAAAAAAGAAAGAAAGCAGTAATGATAGAAAAAAGAGATAGAAAGCTAACAGCAAAATATCTGACATATATCCTACCCTATAATTAATTACATTAAATGTAAATGAATTCCTAACTTGAATCAAAAGGGAAAGATTAGCAAAATGGAACAACAAACTAACACACACAGTGGGAGGCTGAATAAAGTCCCCAGAGGTATCAGAACCTAACTTCTGGAGCCTGAAAGTGTTACTTTAAACGGCAAAGACTTTGAAGATGTGACTCTGACCCTGAGATGCTTACACGGGATTGTCTGGGTGGGCTCTAAATGCCATCACAGGCGGGAGGTTTGGCCTGCGGAGGCACACTTGACTGACCAGCCACAACCCAGCCGGACAGAAGCTAGAAGCAGGAAACATCCTTCCCACCCCCTCCCGAGGGGGCGCGGCCGCGAAGATGCTGGGCCAGTTATGCTGAGGCAGAAGGCTCTGAACTGTGACAGAAGAAATTTCTGCAGTTTAAGCCACCAAGTTTATGATAAATTTGCTAATAGCAGCCACAGGGAACGAAGAGAAGCAATGTCCAACCATAGCTAAGAAGACACTTGATTCAAAGACACATAAACTGAAAGCCCAGGGCCGGGGAGAAAGCACCATCCCAGTGACTGTATAAAGACCACGGAGACTCACACTTCACCTGGGCACCTTGGTGCTTTGGGAGCTGTGTGTCAGAGGAGCTATTAAAGATGAAAGCACTGGGGAAAAGGATTTAAGAGATCAAATGAAAATCCCTTCTGTTTATAAGGACTAGTGTGGTTAATTAAAAACATAAAGTTTGTGGTTTACTTGATATTATGAAAAAAGTGTATGTTTCCATATTAATAGGTTTATTAGTATTCTAATCCTATGAGGATTAACTGAAGTAAAATAAGAGAGTGCCAAGAGAAATGATAAAATGCAATGTAAATGAGAAGTGCCAAGAACAAAAAACCAAGAATGTCTGTTTTGAAGAATCTTTCCCCACATGCACAAATTCAACATTTATTCAATGGCTTTATCACCACATTTGCGTTTCATTATAAAGTGAGGTGGGTTTGGGTTTTTTTGGTTTGTTTTTTGTTTTAATTTCAGAGTTATGGTGATACTGGTATTTGATAAATTTCAAAGAAAAATGAATTTCCTTGCTAGTTTTATAGGTCTTATTTTATAAAATACAAAATATGCTTCTGATAAGTTTGTGTCCAAATTTATTTTTTTGTAACTCACTTCAATCACTTTCTTTTAGGAGCACTTTTATGTTATAAATCGTGACCTCCCTTTCACAAGTTGAATCTTTTTCCTCTGCTTATTTGTTTCTATTAAAATGAAAGATGCCAAAATGAAACCATTTTAACACAATTAACACATTTTAACACAATTATTTAACACAATTCCTGTAAGTTAGCTCCAACAAATGTTTGACCTGGAGATTAGAACCGGCCAAACAGCAGTGAAATGAGATTAGAAACAATGAATCAGAGTAAACTGAACATTTGATGATAGTATCTCCTTACTGAATATCTCATAATTTTTCTTTTCATTTTCCAAGAACCCTGATATCAAATGACACATTCTAACAGAGGTCTCAAGTCCAAGGATATGGGTCAGTTCCCAGGTTAGTCTGAAACCTGAAAATCCTCCCCCCATGAAGGAGGCCTTCTCTGAAGCACTTTGGAACCTCAGGGTATAACCTGAGAAATGGCAAAGACCCTGAGGAAGCTGGCACGCACTTGCCTCCTTGGTTTTGCTTAGTTTGGAGTCTGCATTTTGGGCTCACAGCCAGAGCTAATCAGAAACAGGCCCGCTTCCAGGGACCTTGACATTGTAATGGTCTCCGCGGGTCTACCCAGCCCTGCTCCGGAGCCAAAGTCCTCCTCCCTGAGGCCCAGACACTTCAGACTTGAGAACAATCCCCTTCAGAGGCAGCTTGATTTCCATCTCCAGTTCCTATTACCTCTGACACCTTAAACAGATAATTTCACCTCTCAAGTTTCCATTCTCTCATCTGGAAAATCGAGTCAACACCACTTAGAAATGGTGGCAGGGGTTGAGAAAGAGATAGAACAGATGTTGTTTAAGGATTCAGACTTACAATGATCAGTAAATCAGTCCTAGAGATGGAATGCACAGTATCGGGACGAGAGAGCATATATATTTTAATCATCAAACTTGCGAAGAGACTACAACTTCCAGCCACTGGAAATAAATTATAATTATGTAATGTAATTATGTAATTATGTAATGTGATCATATTGCTACTATGGCAGTCATGTTACAGTATAAAACTGTATCAAATTAACATGTACCTCTTAAACTGACAGAATGTTACAAAGTACAAATATGTACAAATAAAAATATGTACTTTTTAAAAGCGGTACTTAGATATCCTTAGATGTGAGAATTCTTGGAAGACTACGTGAGAAATCACTCTATATTTAATAGGTGGACATTGTCATTAGTAATAATTCTACCCAGGAAAGGGTGGTGGAACCCTGGTTAAGCATCTCAAGGAACTCAGGTTAACTTGGCTGAAACTTTTTGACCTCCGGGCTTTCCATTTTGGCAAGTTCCTTAGCTAGAACTTTAGAATGCAGGTGAAAAGAATTGCTTCTTGGACTTCCCTGGCGGTTGGGAATCCGCCTGCCCATGCAGGGGATGCAGGTTCGGTCCCTGGTTGGGCAACTGAGATCCCTATATGCCAAGTGGTGCAGTAAAAAAGATGAAAACAGAAAAAACCCACACCGGTAACACAGTCCTGAACGACTGGTTCCTCTAAGGTGAAACTGACGCGGCTTGGCCAGTGAGCACAAGGATGACCTCTTGCAAGAGTGTTAGTTACCGGAATAACTGACCACTTTGAGCAGCTATATTAACAACACTCAAAGAACTTTCCTTTCTCCCAAAAGAGGGAAGTGTGGGAAATGTTTTGGTTCCATTCAGATCTGAGCAAATGCAATAGACTTGCTTTGCCTTTATCAACTGCTGTGACTACCCCATTGAGAAAACTTCATATTTGAATCACATTGTTTCATATATGTGCCTCTTTGAGAAATAATTACTATTCATTTTGTGTCTGCAATCTGAATCTAAACTGTGGTTGTTGATCATTTCTTAAACTGGTCAATGTAATATCTAGGCATGAGTAAGTCACTAAAGAATAGATCAGTAGATAATTCTGGAAGCATGAGAGGTTTTGCTGTCAGGAATAAAACATATTAAAATGTAATCTGCCACCCGTCAACATACATACCAGCATTTGCAACATGTAGCACTCCAGTGGTGATTTTTGGCATCCCCGAGAAAAGATGCCTATCTGCCAAAGCACCAAGGTCACTGATTCTTCCCCAAGACTTCCTGGCTTCGGGACTCTCAGCATTGCTTTCCAGCATGCAAGTGACTGCGGAACAGCCACTCCATCGGACCCTGGACACTTCCCTCCTTCCAAGACGTAAAAGCCTGTCCATTCTCCAAAACGCTTTGGCAAAGGCTTTGTGTATGTTCTCATACACGCTTTTCATTCCTTTTGTCCTTTTCTTTTTGGAAGAGAAGGAGTCTTCTATAGCTCTATAGTCCTCTCTAAACACTGTGTTAAAAGAATTGATTACTTTTTGCTCTTCAGGAGTCATTTGGTAGGAAGGATCAAGGCTGGAAAGTTGATGGAGAAGTAAAACTGGGAGTTCTGTTGAGGTCAAGTCGGCCGCTGAGGCTCCGTGATGTCCATCAAACAAACCAAAAAAACACACATTGGGTTTACTGCCAAAATTATTCACAACAATGAATTTATCGTTCATGTCAACTCTCCATGTGGAATTCCTGTCATTGCAAATAGCTGCTCCTTTAATTAATAGGTGACTGATTTTTTGAGGGTGTATGGAACTCTCGCAAATGTTCTCCATAATCCTATAGTATGCTGGTACCTGTCTCTTCCACAGTAGCTCAAAAGCATTATTAATGCTCTGCAAGGTTTTCTCATTGAACGCAAAAGATGACAGCAGCTTAGTAATGACGGACTGTCTCTGGTCTACGATCGCCGAGAGCCCTGGTCTCCTCCCCCCGGTCCACTGCAGGCCCAGTGTGCTCAGAGCCACATGCCGCTTTTTGTGGAGGAAAACGCCAGGCAGGCCAACCTCACGCTTGCAAACGGAGCAGGGGAATGTGATCATTTCATCACAGTCCTGCACTGGAGAGTGTTTTTCAGAGACTTCTTTTGATGGTCTCTTCTTCCTTTTAAAATGCTTCCTTTTCCATGTCAGTGGGACTTCATCCTCTGAATCAGCTGTTGGTTTTCTCGTGTACAATTGCCTTGATTTCCAAAACACTCTGCGAACAGGATGAAAGATATTTACATGCCAGAAATGAGGCAATTTGCAGTTTGCTTTGACTCCTCGAGATTTAATATTGCTCTAAAATATTCTGATTGCTCTTTCTGTGATTCCTCCTCCAAAATACAGAGTACCAACCCAAGAAATTGGTGACTGACCTGTGTAGGCCTGAGTGAAATTAGGCAAAATCTCTAGGAAGCCAGATAGACCTCTAAGAACAAATAGAGAAATCAGCATAATACTTTATCTGGGCAAGTGAAGGTATACGCTTGAGCCTTAGCAATGTGATTTCAAGTATGAGCATAATTATTTTTGTACTTAAATTTTCCTAATAATAAAATAATTTATTATATAATAATTAATAATTTATTATTTATTAAGTGATATTGTGCATTACATTATAAAATAATTTATTATATAATAATATATAGTATAAAGAGATAGAATAATTTTTTAAAGCACTTTTGTCCTAATTAAAGCATTCTCAAGGAAATGAATGGGAGATGAATCTGATGCAGGTGCATTTAATGTGCTGCTTTCCCTGCGAGTATTTAAATCCCTGCCAAGGACAGCTCTGTTGGATGTAGCCACTCATCCCTACAGGAACATTTCATTCACCAATTTCCACTTCATAATGCTCGTTGATCTATTAGCCTATTAGCAAACTTTCCTGGCTTTGCCTCACCAGCCAATTCTTGTTTCTCTTTTTTAATGGAAAATTTAAACAACACACAAGAATGGAAATATGTAATGAGCCCCCATCACCAGCTTCAACCACTATTAACATTTTTTCACTCTCATTTCCTCTGTGTCCTCAACCACATATTATTTCATTTTACTCATTTCTTTACTGGAGTATTTTAAAGCACATCCTCCAGTTCTGTCGCTCTCGCGCATCACTTCAGTGCTTAGTCAGCACACATTCACTTCTTCAGTATCTACCACAGGCCAGCTGCCGTGCAGTTACAGCGCCGCTTAGCAATCAAGCTGGTGCCTTGGCCTGGAAGCAACGAGGCGAGGAGTCTGTGGCCTCATCCGCACGCTCATACAAAGAACCAGGCAGGTCCAATGGAGCCAGGCAGAGCCCCGTGACGAGGCCCAACCGAGGGCCCAGCCCGTCATCTGCGCAGGAAAGGGGCCCCGCGACAGCTGAGCCGACTCGAGAAACACTCAGTTGAGAAAAAGCAGCAAGAGCTCCAAGGCAAACACACAGGACTACCAGTTAGCAGGCGGGGGGGAGAGGACCCAGCCAGGGAGCTGGACAGGCAAGCACAGATGTACGGGAAAATGGCAAAACTTTTCAGCTTTTCTGACCAAAATGTATATCAAATATCTTTTAACTGCTATTAATGCATAACATTCATGTAAAGGATGCAGTTTTTATGAGGCTTGTTGAACTGTTTGGACCAAATTTAATGAACACTAATTCTGTAGTTAGGCCTAGAGTCTTCAAATAAAAATCAAGTTGTATCAGAATTTTATTTTTCTGTCTATAGAGGATAGCCATAATACAACTCTCTCTCACATAGAGCCACTCTGGGAAAGTAACATGTCCATTCATTCGTTCAACAAACACTAGGGGCGTCTGCCATTTGCCAGGGACTGTTTTATTTGCTTGAGACAGAGAGGTGAACAAAGGCATTGTCTGTGATTAAGTTTATAGCCTCATACGAAAACAGACAATAACTAAAGGAAACACAGAAACTGATGCCATAGACAGAGAACTACTAGTGTGAGAAACAGGGCAGGACAAGAAGAAGGACGTCCCCAGAGGTCCTGTGCTTAAGAGTCTGCCGCTGAGGCAGCGGACACAGGTTCGATTCCTGGCCGGGGAAGACCGCCCGCCACTGGGCAGCTGAGCCCAAGAGGCATAGTCGCTGAGCGCCTGGAGCCCGTGCTCCGCGGTGAGAGAAGTCGCCTCGGTGGAAAGGAGCCCCCACTCCCGCAGCTGGGAAAGCCCACAGGCTGAAATGAGACCCAGTGCAGCCAACAGTAAGCTAAAAATAAATAAAGACACTGTTAGCGAAAAGAATAAAAGTAGACAAAGAGGGACTTCCGGGCGGTCCAGTGGTTCAGACCCTGAGTTTCCAATGCAGGGGCACCGGTTCAGTCACTGGTCAGAGAAGATCCCACATGCTGTGTGGCATGGCCCAAAAACAACAAAAAAAGGTAGAGAGACAGAAATGCTTTTAGTATAAGGTAGTCAGACGACTATATCACCCCTCCATGAACACAGTCTACCAGGAAATCACGGTTTCATTTGACTGAGAAAGTCGAAGAAAAAGAAAACTGCAAATATAATTGTTTACAAACTACATTTGTTATCCGATACAAATGAAAAAAAAATTACCTGAAAGCACTGTTCGCCTCCATGCTCCTTTGGGACTGCCACCTTCCTTCGCCCTCTCTTCACCAGTGTCCCCCGGGCCCTGTCCCTCCAACCTGCCTGGCGATGGTGGCGGTAGGAGTGGGCTGATGGGGACGGTGTTGATGGCCGGGGGAGGGTTCCCTGACTTGGTCATGGACCTCCCCATGTGGAAGGTTTGCTACATCATCTGGAACCTCAGTCAGAACTGACTCTGATTCTGAAGGACTATGAAGCAATAAGGGCACAAATTGTTCTAAGTAACAAACCTGTCTTTGAAATTTCTGAAAGAAGGATCATTCATTGAATATACTGCTTTATGCCTGCATGATCAGATTCAGAAAATGAAAGGAGTGCCTATCAATTCATGTCAACTAATTGACTGTCAATTAAGTTGTGTCCCACTCAGGGGAAAGGTATCTAGGACATGCCTTCTTCCCTGTCCTGGAGAGCCTCTCTGCTCCAAATCTTTGCTTGAAACTTATAGCTCCGGTCCCCACCGTTTTTTCTGGACTTGTTGTTTCTTGAGGCTGACTTCTTTGTGGCCGATACCTTTAGTTCTTAGGCTCTTTGAAGCTGCCCTCCCTACAGTGGAAGCACACAGTCTTAACCGTTAGATCACCAGGAAAGTCTGGGTTCCTAGGTTCTTAATCCACAGCTGTATTCCACTTTCTCACCCTGGGCTGGATTAGAACTGGAGTCCAAGAGTAGCTTGTTTGCATATTGAAGATTGGACAAGCCTGGTTACTTACTTGCCATCAGAGCAGGCACATATCCCAGTCAACTCAAAGTTATTCGTCCAAAATGGAACTCAATACCTTTCTTCTGGGCTTCCCAGGTGGTGTCGGGGTAAAGAATCCACCGGCCAATGCAGGAGATGCAGGAGACTCGGGTTCAATCCCTGGATCAGAAAGATCCCCTGGAGTAAGAAAAGGAAACCCACTCCAGCATTCTTACCTGGAGAACCCCACGGACGGAGGAGCCTGGCGGGCTGCAGGCCACGGGGTCGCAAAGAATCAGACACCACTGAGCGCTCACACACCCACCTTTCTTCCAGAATCGCCTCCCACCGTTAATGTGCTGAGGCTGGAGACAGTGTTGGCCTGGGTCCCTTTCCCTACGGTTCCAGATTAGGGTTGGCTAAGAAGGGAGCCTGGGGGCACCGCCTCTGAGCGCCGTCACGGCCCAGCGAGGCGACCTCAGGTGCAGGGGCGCTTGTCCGGCTCAGCACTGATGAAGACTCTCTGAATCCGCAGCAGCTCCTGCCCTCGGAGCCCCGAAGGCAGACGCTCCCTGCAGACTCGTCCGCCAGCGTCCCCGCATGGTGCTCCCTCCACGGCTGCGCCTTCTCAGCTTCTCAGGCTTCTCCTCTGCCCCTTCCCTGTCTCGGAGGTCCGCTTGCCCGGCTCCTTCCACAAACTGTGTAAGGTCAGATTTCAACAGTAAAATCTTCACTCCATCACTCGTGGGCTTCAGCGTTACTGACTGAACCCGAGCTGACACAGGCGCCACCAGCATCACCGGTCCTCCCCTTCAGGACCGGCCGTCGCAACCCCGCCTCCCCCACGTGGCCCCGCCCCGCCGCGATCACCCCTCTCCGGACCAAAACACTCGGCCTGCAGGACCCCCCTGGGCGGGGGCCGCTTTTCCCCCTCCAGTCTGGCGGCTCCTCAGTGCGACCCCCTCGGAGCACGCAGAGCTGACCCTACTACCTGAGCCTCGTGACCCATTTGCCCTTGTTCTTGGGATAAAACCTTCAAGCTCCACCTCTTTTCAGTTCAGTTCAGTTCAGTTCAGTGGCTCAGTCGTATCCGAGTCTTTGTGACCCCATGGACTGCAGCACACCAGGCCTCCCTGTCCATCACCAACTCCCAGAACTTGCTCAAACTCATGTCCATCGAGTCGGTGATGCCATCCAACCATCTCATCCTCTGTCGTCCCCTTCTCCTCCTGCCTTCAATCTTTCCCAGCATCAGAGTCTTTTCCAATGAGTCAGCTCTTCAAACCAGGTGGCCAAAGTATTGGATTTTCAACTTCAACATCACTCCTTCCAGTGAACACCCAGGACTGATCTCCTTTAAGATGGACTGGTTGGATCTCCTTGGAGTCCAAGGGACTCTCAAGAGTCTTCTCCAACATCACAGTTCAAAAGCGTCAATTCTTTGGCGCTCAGCTTTCTCTATGGTCCAGCGCTCATATCCATACATGACCACTGGAAAAACCAGAGCCTTGACTAGATGGACCTTTGTTGGCAAAGTAATGTCTCTGCTCTTTAATATGCTGTCTAGGTTTGGCTTCTTGTAACGCGTCTAACTTCCTCAGCATCATTACTGCCCTCACCCCCCCTCCCCAACTCTTTCCTGGTTTGGTAAGAAATGGTATTTGGTTATTTCAATCTGAATTTCTTACTGTTCCATTAGGTTGTTTTAAGTGTTTTGTTGTTGGTGGTGGTGGGTTGTTTTCTTTTTTTTTTTTTTTTGATGTGGACATTTTTAAAGTCTTTACTGAATTTGTTCCAATATTGTTTCTGTTTCGGTTTTTTGTCTGCAAGGCACGTGGGATTTTAGCTCCCCAGCCAGGGATAGAACCTGTGCCCCCTGCACTGCAAGAAGAAATCTTAACCACTGGACCGCCAGGGAAGTCCCTTCAAGGTGTTTTTGGGGGGATTTTTAAAAAATCTGTTTTCAGTTGGGCCTTCAGTTGCTCTTTAATCTGCACCATCTGTGCAGGTGCCCTGCACACTCTCTCCCAGCCGCCGCCGCGGTGCCCTGTCCGGGTGGGAAGGTTTCTGGGGCGGTGCCTTCAGGCAAGTGCTGACTCCCCTGGGCTCCAGTCCCTGGGCAGGGTCGGGTATCTCTCCGGTGGCTCTGTGTTCATATCTCCACATGCAGCCCTCAGGCCTGCTGGTGATTAGGGTTGTAGGAAAACCTCCTTGCAAAGGTGACTTAAGAGCAGCTTCTTTCCAGAGGCAAAACTAGAGAAAACATATTCCTGAAATACTCTGCAAGGGAAAAGATGGGTCTACATCCACGTGGATTCTTTGCTTCTTTTCTTCTGAAGTATATTTGCTGTCTGTTAATTCTGTTGTTGTTCAGTCACTAAGTCCTTTCTGACTCTTTGCAACCCCGTGAACTGCAACACGCCAGGCTTCCCTGTTCTTCACTGTCTCCTGGAGTTTGATCAAACTCATGTCCATTGCGTATAATAATCAATTGGTTATTTTGTGTGTTTTTTTAATTGAAAAATAAAAACAGGTACTTCTTTTTATAAGATACATAAGTATGTAAAGGAAAAGCAGAGGTCTCTCTTTCCCCGAAGTTACTACTGCCAAAAATTAGGTGTGACTTGTTTCAGGCGGGTTTCTATGTATTTTCATATATGTGTACCTAAAAACGTAGACACGATCTATTTTGAAATTGGAGTTTAATTTGCATATGGTCAGTTGCAGAAATTCTAAATGTACAGCCTGATGAATTGTGTAAGAATACACTTGTAGACTCCACGAAGTCTTGTTTTCTGTATTTTAAAAAATAAGGTTGCAACATGATCACAGTATTAAACTAAAAATGTTTGCTGTCACTAGTGCGCAGTGATGACTTTTTTAGCTCAGTACCTAGCAACCTTCCCCATTTGTTTTTCTCTTTTTTTGGCCAAATGTCTTGTGGAATCAACAGTGAGAGCACGGAGCCCTAACCACTGGACCATCAGGGAATTCCCTCCACCGGACTATACAGTCCATGGGATTCTCCAGACCAAAATACTGCAACGGGTGGCATTTCCCTTCTCCAGGGGATCTTCCCACCCCAGGGATCAAACTGGGGTCTCCCGCATTGCAGGCAGATTCTTTACCAGCTGAGCCACAAAGGAAGCCCCATTCTTTTTAACCGCTATATTATATTCCACAGCAAGTGTATAGATGCTACCTAGGTTAATTAACCACTTACCTCTAATGAGGGAAGCGGCTGTTTCTGTCCTGTTTGCTCTAATAACATTACAGTGAACACGAACATGCATGGTCAGGTCTCTCTGGTGGGTGCTGGCGCTGGCTGGATGTCCAGACGCGGAAAGTCGACAGGCGGAGCGGGAGGGGCAAGGGCTCAGGGGTGCACTCGGGTCCCAGCTTGCTGCTGGCTCGCTGGTCTCTGAGGTCGTCTTGCTATTCTGGATCCCAGTTTTGTCAGCGGTGAAACCGAGGTACTTCGCGGAACCTTGCTGACCGATGAGAAACGAGCGCTGTCCGGCCAGCACTGAGCGCAGCACAGCGCAGACGCCCCCCACGCACCCGGCACCAGCAGGCCGACTGAGTCGGGAGGGCTCCACAGGCCCCCGCGCTGCTGCGCATGTGTGCGTCCACTAACTCCTCCCCCTGACGCGCTTCCGCCGGCTTCTGTCTGCTCACTTCCGGCCGTCCTCGGCTTGCTTTTCCTCATCAACCCGGCTCCACGTCAGCTTACCGACACACCCATGTAGATGCATACACACGTATGTACACGGACACACACGCTTAAAAAGCAGCTTAAAGTAGAGAGTAGAGGACTTCCCTGGTGGTCCAGTGGGTAAGACTCCACGCTCCCAATGGAAAGGGCCAGGGTTCATCCCTGGTCAGGGAACGAGACCCCACATGCTTCAACCAAGGCCCAGCACAGCCGCATCAGTGCACAGATATTCTAAAGACACAGTAGGCGGGAAACATGAGTAGAGAAATTCAGAGCCAGAAGCTTTAATATTCCTGAGAGTATCATGTGTCATCTAAAATGACGACTTGTACTGTTTGCCCAAATATAGACATAAAAATAAGGTGACTTACTAGAGAATTATATAATTATTTATGCACAAAAATTAATTTGAAAAATTCATATGAAAAAACTATAAAAAATAAAAGAACATGAAAGAAAACATGAATAAAGGCAAAGGCTCATCTATGTTTTGGACTGGAAAACAATATTATATAGATATCACCATAAAAAGGGGGAATATATGTACAACATGTGTGATTGACAAGGTATAT